TATACATAATAAATAAATAAATATTTAAAAAAAATAAATCCCTAGAATCCACTTCCCTGTGGGAAGTCCAAGGACCACCCACCTCCATCCAGGTCTAGTAAGGTGAGCATCCAAACTGCCTAGGCTCCCACAAAGCCAGTACGTGCAGTAGGATCAAAAACCCATTGCCATTGTTCTTGAGTTCTCAGTAGTCCTCATTGTCCGCTATGTTCAGTGAGTCCGGTTTTATCCCAGGCTTTTTCAGACCCAGGCCAGCTGGCCTTGGTGAGTTCCCGATAGAACATCCCCATTGTCTCAGTGTGTGGGTGCACCCCTCGCGGTCCTGAGTTCCTTGCTCGTGCTCTCTCTCCTTCTGCTCCTGATTTGGACCTTGAGATTTCTGTCCGGTGCTCCAATGTGGGTCTCTGTCTCTGTCTCCTTCCATTGCCTGATGAAGGTTAATATTCAGGAGGATGCCTATATATTTTTCTTTGGGTTCTCCTTCTTATTTAGCTTCTCTAGGATCACTAATTATAGGCTCAATGTCCTTTATTTTTGATTGATTTTTCGAGACAGGGTTTCTTCGTAGTTTTTTGGTTCCTGTCCTGGAACTAGCTCTCGTAGACCAGGCTGGCCTCGAACTCTGCCTCCCAAGTGCTGGGATTAAAGGCGTGTACTACCACTGCCTGGAAATAATTTATTTTTAATTAAAAAATGTAAACATTTTATTTTTATGTATATGGGTGTTTTGGCGCATGTATGTCTGTGCACCATTTGTATATGTGGTACCTGAGAAGAATAGAAGAGGGCACTGGATGCCCTGGAACCTGAGTTACAGACATTGGTTGTGAGCCACCATGTGGGTGTTGAGAATTAAACCCTGCTCCTCTAAAGAGCCCCAAGTGCTCTAACTGCTGTGCCATCCTTCCAGTGCCCTTATCTGGCTTTTTATGTGGATTCTAGGGATTTAATTCAGGTTCCCAGGCTTGTATAGCAAGCACTTTTACCCACTGAGCCATCTTCCTAGGCCTTTTTTTATTTTGGGCCTGGGTATTACTGATGCCCAAGCTGGGCTCAGATCTAAAGCAAATCTGAGATCTGTGGCCTTATGCCAAATCCAGCCTATGTTTGTTTACTTCTTAAGAACACTTTGGATATTTTTAAGTGGCTTTGACATTTTTGTAGCCATCTCACAGGAGAGGAAATTTTTGCTTTTTGTTTTTCGAGACAGGGTTTCTCTGTGTAGGCCTGGCTGTCCAGGAACTAGGTCAGGAGACCAGACTGGACTCAAACCCAGAGATCTGCCTGCCTCTGCCTCTACCTCTTGAGTGCTGGGAGAGTAATTTTAAAGAGGCATTTGTGCTTTCAGACTATGCAAAGCCTGAAACCCAAAGAATCAAACTTCCCCTAGGATCATGCAGAGGGAAGAAAAAGGCTGAAGCACTTGCCTCCCGGGAGGAGACTTCACACAGTTCTGCCAACTTGTCAGACTTCCTTCCCTGCAGGACAACTAGAACAAGATAATGATGGGTCAGTGGTGGGCGGGAGACACCTGCCCAGGGCTGCTTTGTTATATACTCTTCTTGCTCTCTATTTAAATTTAAAAAACAATGGGTGTGGGGGGGGTGCCTTCAAAGGTCAGAAGTGCTGGATCCCTCTGGGGCTGGGATCACAGGCAGTTGTGAGTTGGAAACAATTCAGATCCTGTGGAAAACCAGCACGCCCTCTAACTGCTGAGCCATCTTGCATCCGTTTCTATTTAAACTTGAACTCCATGTCCAATACTCTAAAGATGAACTTGGAGGGTTACTAGACCCCTTTATTGGTCCTCGTTCAATGTGACTACACTGGATAATCTCGGCTTTCTTTTCACTGTTACTCATCTCCTAAACTGGTGTACTGAGGACAGGTGGCTGAGCCTAGATTGCTTATCAGAGCTGCCAGGGTCCAGGCTTCTACCTTCAAAATTTCGGTAACATTTTTGTATGGAAAAATTCAAGAGTAAGCCAGGCGGTGGTGGCGCCCGCCTTTAATCCCAACACTCAGGAGGCGGAGGCAGGCGGATCTCTGGGAGTTCGAGGCCAGCCTGGTCTACAAAGGGAGTTCCAGGACAGGCTCCAAAGCTACAGAGAAACCCTGTCTCAAAAAAAAAAAAAAAAAAAAAAAAAAAAAAAAAAAAAAAAAAAAAAAAANAAAAAAAAAAAAAAAAAAAAAAAAAAAAAAAAAAAAAAAGTCAAGAGTATTTTGTGACATATGTAAATAACAAAAAACTAAAAGTTCAGTGTACAGACTAGTTTTTCTAGAACACTGCTGTTTTTGTTCAGGTCCTGTAGCATCCGTGGCTTCGGTCCTGCGTCTGGGTCCCTCGGCACCAGTTTGCTACCTGACCCTCTCAGTGTGTTAGCCCTTATTAAACATCCCATGCGTCCCTCACAGCTGAGGTGCGGTTCTTCATCCTTGGCTGCAGTCATGCTCTCTTCTGGTGCTGGGGAGCAAAGCCAGGGCCATGCACATGCCGTGCTCGTGCTCCAGCAACGCCGTGCTCGTGCTCCAGCAACGCCGTGCTCGTGCTCCAGCAACGCCGTGCTCGTGCTCCAGCAACGCCGTGCTCGTGCTCCAGCAATGCCGTGCTCGTGCTCCAGCAACGCCGTGCTCGTGCTCCAGCAACGCCATGCCGTGCTCATGCTCCAGCACATGCTATGTTCATGCTCCAGCACATGCTATGTTCATGCTCCAGCACATGCCGTGCTCATGCTCCAGCAATGCTATGTTCATGTTCTAGCACTGAGCCACACTCCCAGTCCTTTCCAGACCTTTCGCCTGGAAACTTTGTGCTGCTTTCTACTTGGACCTTGTTTTAGGTCACATGACTTGTTTTGACCACTGAGAACTGAAACAGAGGACTGACCTCTGAATACAATGAAATGTTTTTTTTCCTGCTCCTAGGTCATGTGCACAGACCCAGCAGTCTGCTGCTGTGAGTCATAAGATCCACAGTCCAGTAAACTGTTATTCCTCCTAAGGTCATCCTAGGTTAGTCCAGTTAAACATCCAAGATTATCACAGCTGACCACAAACAGACCTGAGCAGGCCCAGCTGCAATTACCCTTACCAGTCCAGATCAGCTGAATCCCACCATGTGCCGGCCAACTCAGAGGGGTGCTTACTCCCGAGTTTGGGGATGGTTTGTTACATGTTTCTCTAGCAATAGAAAGTAGCATACAGGGGCTGGCAAGATGGCTCAGCAGTTAAGAGCACTGACTGTTCTTCCAGAGGTCCTGAGTTCAATTCCCAGCAACCACATGATGGCTCACAGCCATCTGTAATGAGATCTGTTGCCCCCTTCTGGTGTGCAGGTGTACATGGAAGGAATGTTGTACACATAATAAATAAATAAATCTTAAAAAAAAAAAAAAGAAAGTAGCATACATCCAGGTGGTGATGGTGCATGCCTTTAAACCCAGCACTAGGGAGGCAGAGGCAAAAGTATTTTTGTGAGTTCAAGGCCAACCTGGTCTATAGAGCTAGTTCCAGGATAGCCAAGGCTACACAGAGAAACCCTGTCTTGAAACGCCCCACCAATCAATCAATCAGTCAATAAATAAATAAATAAATAAATAAATAAATAGCATATAAATTCTAAAACTTTCCTTTGCCAAACAGGCTCTGGAGCATTTTTTTTTCTTCTGAGGGCAATTTTAGCTTCTATTAGAATCTGAAGGAAGCACAGAAACCTGGAACTCCAGGGCTGGGGGCAGGCAGGAGATCACACCTTGACTTTCCAAAGAAGTACCAGAACTCTTTCGTTTTGTTTTGTTTGAGGCAGTCTTCTTACTGCAGCCCAGTGTGCATCTCTATCTAGTTTACAATTCGATCTACCCCATGGGTCAAAGAGATGCTGAGACTCTCTGACTCGGTATACCTCTTCACCATGAAGACACCTTGGACAGACAAACTTTACCATTCATGAAAAAAGAATTCAATTTATTTCCTTTTAGAACTATAAAAAAGTACCTGGGTATAAAATCTAAAGGAGGACACGCTGTCATTGTCTGTACTCAAGTACAGTATCAGGAGAGCAGGAGGAGAAGAGACTGGATGGACAGAGGTAGGAGGCAAGATTGCCCTTTGTTCTATGGTCTCAGGGAAACAACTTTAATTTGGAATAGGGAAGGTCTTCTTTTTGAGATAGAATCTCCTCCTGCAGGCTATCCTAAAACTCACTGGGTAGGCCCAGGGTAGCCGAACCCACAACAGTTCTCCTGCCTCAGTTTCCGACCATGCCTGGAGAGTCCTCCTTCTTGAAGGCTGAGCATGTCTTAGGATGTCCATGTCCTTCCCTGGAGAGCAGCCCAGGCGGCTTCTACGAGGAAGAAAAGGTATTCATCCACAGGACATGAAGTGGTCACCTTCGGACTTGCATGAACTCCTTTCGCAGCCACAGTGAGTCCTGGTAGAAGCGGGGGTCGCCCAGCCTCACAGCTGTCCGCTTGTAGAAGTAGCAGTACAGCACCGCAGCTGAGGACAAAAGCAGAGGGCAGCCTCAGGGGCGTCCCCAGAGTCCCCTGCAGGGGGAGCCCAGGCAGCCCTAGCACCACCCCAGCGCTTTTCCCTGGGTCCCAGGAAGAGCAGGGGCAGCCCTTCCTCTTGCCTTTGTCTGTGCCTGTCCCAAACATCCCTGGGAAGCCAGGATGGAGGCTGTGCTCCAGAGACACAGCAGGCCCCGAGGCTGCTCCACTTCTCACCTAGTCTCTGGAACACAAATAGTGTTTGAAGTCCATCTGTCCAAATGAAGCTGTTGGAATTTTTCCATCGCAAGTTCTAAAGGAGACATGAGCAGAAAGGAAATGTGAACCGATTACATCTCCAATCTGCTTAGCTGCAGCAAAGACACTTGTTTGAAAATCGTGCTAACCTTACTTCCTTTTCATAAGCTCAAAGTATATTTCTCAGGGGAGCCTCAAACTCTTCCTTAAAATTTTTTTTTCTGGGGCTGGAAAGATGGTTAAGTGGTTAAGAGCACCGACCTAGGTTCAGTTCCTAGCACTTAAATGATGGCTCACAACCTCCTATAACTCTAGTTACAGAGGATCCAATGCTCTCTTCTGGCCTCTGTGGACCCTAGGCCTGCACAATCTGCACATATGAGGCAAACACTTATAGACATAAAGTAAATAAATAGGATTTTTGGCTGGGCATAGTGGTACCTTTTAATTCCAGCACTTAGGAGGCAGAGGCAGGCAGATTGCTGTAAATCTGAGGGTAGCCTGGCCTACAATAGTGAGTCCAAGCCAATCAAAACTATAGCAGTAGGACCCTGTCTCAAAAAAAATTTTTTTTAATTAAAAAAAATTGTGTGTGTGTGTGTGTGTGTGTGTGTGTGTGTACAGGCACCAGTGTGCCATAACATGTATGCAGAGACAGAAGACAACGTGTAGAAGTTAGTTCTCTGCTTCCATCGTGTAGGTCCCAGGGATCAAACTCAGGCTGTTAAGCTTGGCAGCAAGTTCCTTTACATGTTTAGCCATCTTACCAGCTCTCAGCTGGCCTCTGCCCCGTTTATTTATTTATTTATTTTTTGCTACAAAGGTATCTCCTCTAAGCTTGAACTGAGAAATTTATCTCCTTCTACTCTATTGCCTTTGTCAAGGAGAAATGATCTCAGGACTTTCCTGCTCACTGTCCTGCCTGCATTTAGGCTCAGGCTTAATCACATCAACAGTCTGAACACAGGCTCCAGCAAGCAGAGCATAGACTCTGATAGAGGAAGCCCCTTGCCCACCGCTCTGCTACTTTCCTGTGAGATCTCAGCTTCTCTGCGGCCCCAGTGGCACCCATTCCTATGAGCTCTGCTGCTTTTCTGTGGTCCCAGGGGTGCTCACACCATGGGTCCAATGAGAAGCAAAAAAATGACTAGAGACCAAGTTTCTGCTTTGTTTTGTTTGTGGTTTTGAGAACCAAGGCCAGGGCCTCCCAAATTCTAGGTAAGGGCTCTACCTCTCGAGCCACACCCCTAACTCAGAGTCAGGGATTTTAATAAGCTTCAGCAAAATAAGCATATAAGAGATAAATGAGCTATCCAAACAATGGAAGAAATTTTTAAAAGAGAAGAAACCTGCAAGACCTTCCCAGAACCCATATAAATGCGAAAATGGAAGGAGAGAGGGGCTAGAAAGATAGCTCAATGGTTAAGAGCATTTGCTGCTCTTTCAGAGGACCAGAGTTCAGTTCCTAGCACCCATATTGGGTGTCTCACAACTCCCTGTAACTCCAGCTACAGATCAAAAACCTTCTTCTGGAGCACCTGTGCACACTCAGGCTCACACACACACTGTGGGATAATCCATTTGTACCTTGTTGCTCCCATTGTTAATAAAAATCTGATAGCCAGGCAGGATTTGGGGAGCAGAGGGAATGCTGGAAAGGAGGAGGGCTGGAGTCGAGGAGTCGCTAGCCAGACAGAAAAAAAGCAGGACATGCAGGAGAGGTAAAAGTCACAAGCCTCTGGGGCTGGAGAGATGGCTCAGTGGTTAAGAGCATTGCCTGCTCTTCCAAAGGTTCTGAGTTCAATTCCCAGCAACCACATGGTGGCTCACAACCATCTGTAATGAGGTCTGGTGCCCTCTTCTGGCCTGCAGACATACACACAGACAGAATATTGTATACATAATAAATAAGTAAATAAATATTTAAAAAAAAGTCACAAGCCTCGGGGCAGCACAGAGATCAACAGAAATGGGTTAATTTAAGTTGTAAGAGCTAGTTAGTAATAAGCCTGAGTTACAGGTCAAACATTTATAACTAATAATAAGTCTCTGAATGGTTATTTGGGAAGCAGCTGGTGAAACAGAACTAATCATGGTTCTGGCGAAAAACTGCCTACACACACACACACACACACACACACACACACACATGCATTGACATAAACTTTCAAATAATAGTCTTAAAAAAGCAATCTGAAACCATGAGAACTGGATCTGTTCTGGAGCCTACAGGAAAATTAAAGAGAAGCATCTTGGGGATTGAATTTGTGGGGACTCAGAGCTTAAAGGGAAGCAACACTCTTGGGTGGCTGCTTCCCAGAAACAACCAATGCCTATAATATTAACCACAGGACGCTAACACCTAATATCCCCCATCAACACCCACCTACCCACACGGTGGATGACAAAACAGACGTGACTTCCTGTTTTCACCCTGGTAGGCCAATCTGGAGCAAAGGTAAACTGACTGCTACAAATAGAAGAGTCCCTGGAGCTGCCAAAGTGCCTTATGAACTGCCATATGCTCTACTCCAGCCCAGACACCATCTGCCCGCCTTCTACCAGAGTTTCCAAATGATAGAGACTTCTACTTGCATATTCTTTTGGCAGGACAGGGTTTGATCAGACCCAGGGCACTGAGCCCTGCCACTGAGTTATCGTCCCTAGCCCTTACTATTTTCTTTCTGGTGTTTTGTTTTTGTTTTTTGTTGTTGTTTTAAATCAAAATTTGTCTGTGTAGGATTTAATCATATCAACAGCTTGAATATAAAGCATTTATCTCACAAAGATACCATATCAGATCTGGTTTTCATGACTTCTGATTTCTGCATTCCTAATTCTTTCATCTCTTTGTATATCTATCTCATGTTTTTTATATACTTCTTAAAAAAGAGAGAGATTTATTTATATTTGTGTTTGTTTTTTTGACATGGGATATAACACTATGTAGTTCTGGCTGGCCTGGATTTGTAGACCAGGTTGGTCTCTAGCTTACTTACAGAGATCTGCCTGCCTCTGCCTCCCAATTACTGGGATTAAAGGTGTGCACCACCCATGTCTGGCAACTGACTTACTTTTATGTGTATGTGTGAGTGCTTTGTATGTAAATGTGTACCATGTATTTGCCAGTGCAGGCAGAGGCCAGAATTGGATCCCTTAGAATTGAAGTTACAAAGGGTTGTGAACCATCTGATGGTGGGTGCTGAGAGCCAAATCCAGATCCAAGTGCTCAGGAGTCATAACTGCTGAGCCTTTTCTCGGGCCAGTTGTGTGCTCATTTTGGCTCCAAGGTTCTGAGTTGGAAGAGTGGCTCAGCCAAGCTTGCTAGTGGACTTCCATGTAGCCAAGACTGACTTGCTATGGCCTTCAGAGAACTAAGATTACAGGTATTTACTACCACATTTTGCTTTTTTCACCCTCTTGAGACAGGGTTTTATACTATAGCCCAGGCTGGCTTAGAATTTGACTGCGTAGCTCAAGATGGCCTTGAATTTGTGGTAATCCTCCTGCCTTGGCCGACTGGGTGCTAGGATGACATGTTTTAGCCAACATGCTCAGCTATTTCTAGCTCTTTATTTATTTTTTTTAAATATTTATTTATTATGTATACAATAGTCTGTTTTTTGTGTGTATGCCTGCAGGCCAGAAGAGGGCACCAGACCTCATTACAGATGGTTGTGAGCCACCATGTGGTTGCTGGGAATTGAACTCAGGACCTTTGGAAGAGCAGGCAATGCTCTTAACCGCTGAGCCATCTCTCCAGCCCCATTTCTAGCTCTTTAAAGATGTGAAAGGGCCGTGAGAGATAGCTCAGCGGTTGGGGGCATTTGTTGCCAGGCCTGATGACCTCAGTTTAATCCCCGGAGCCTATATGATGGAAGAAGGGAACTGACTCCCATAGGTTATCCTTTGGCCCCCACACCTCTAGCCATCTACGCATGAACACAGCACAATATCTATATATAGTTTTTAAAAATTAAATATGTAAGAATTCAGAGCTTTCACTCTTACCATGACCCAGACATGAAGGGAGATGCTGAGAGCGAGGTACACAGAGGTCAGAATGATGGTCCCTTTGAACTTATGGAACAGGAGGTTGACCAGGCCAGCCTGGAAGACGAAGGTGTTGAAGAACATGAGGAAAATTATGATGATGTTGAAGAGAATTGCAATATCCTGGATGCTGTAGACACATAAAACAAGTGTAGCCAAGTGGGGGTTATGTAAGGACTTCAGAGTGGCCCTAAGTTCTAAGGGATGCCGTGAGATCCTTTCTTCTCTATGACTGTCGCCCCAAACCTCCCGACAGCACAGACTTCTGGACACACTAATGACTTTAAAAATGCTCAAGTGTGACAGTCAGAGCTGACACACTGGATTCGGCTCTCCAGCGTGTCTCCCATACTCACATGAAAAGCACCAGCTGGATGACAGGAGCCATTCGGAGGAGCTCGGAGAAGGAGTTGACAAACAGGTCATAGGACAGCAGCAGGAACTGCAGCGAGAGCACCAGGCTGTAGTTGCTGGTTTGGAGCATCTTCTGTCTGCTTTGTGGGACTCCCAAGTGCACATCCCACAGTTCTGTAGAAAATAACTTCTGGTTCTCTGCCGGGTACTTGGGGAGAGATGTCTAGTTTTTTTCAAAGCAGAGCTGTTTCCCTGGCTCTAATGCAAGGACCTGTTTGGAGGGGAAAGAATCAAGGAAGGGAGGGAGGGAAGGAAGTAAAGAAGTAGGAACAGAGGGAGGGAGGATGGGCAAGGAAGGCAATATCAGAAGCCTAGGATTAAACATTTACTGAGCATCAGTATGCAAAACACCAAGAAAACAAAACAATAAAGAAAACGAAAACCCAGATAAAGCCAGGCATAGTGGCACACACTTGTGATCACAACATTCAGGAGCCAGAAACAAGAAGCTTGAGAGTTTGAGCCAGCCTGGGTTACGCTAGCCAAGCTTCTTCTTCAGACAAAACAAGACAAAACCAAACCACGCCCATCCCGACTCTGCCCCACTGCACCTCAACTTGTTATTCTTTCTAGAGACTAATAACTTCAGACTTTTCTCCATGCCTGGATCCTTTTAAATATACAGCTCTTTTCTTTTCTCTTCCTTCCCCCTTTCTTTTCTTTTTTTAACCAGATCTTGCTATGTAGCCCCAGCTGGTCTAGAATTCTTGATCCTCCTGCCTCAGCTTCCCAAGTGCTTGTTTTCCAGGAGTGCCTGACCACACCTGACAAATGCACAAGTCTAACCAGGAATATTTACAGGTGCTTCAGAGAAGTGGCAGCCTGGTCATGTGGTAGTAGTAATAGTTATAGTAATAAATCCTTATGTATTACATGCAACACTGGGAACTGTTTCCATCACAAATATTACTTAAATCTTATAATAATCTCATAAGGAAGTATCTTCCCCAATTCATGAAAGGTAACTTATTTGACCAGGATTACACAGCTAGTAAGTGGCAGAGTGGTGTTCTGATGGAGACACTATACAGCCAGCCTATTTCATAACTGATAAGAGTGATATCTAAGAAGGTGCAGGGTATGTTCTCTTAAGAGGACACAGTCCTTTCCTAGAAGAGCTTATTAAGATTATGCCAGAAACAAAGCGGCAGGAGAAAGTGAGCATATATTCACAACTTTACTTACTGCCTGGACTTGAGAAGCAGCCAGGTTAGTGCATGCAGCCCCCATTTTGCAGAGGTTTTGAAGGGCCCATGCCCTGTTCATCTCCCGCGGTGGAAAAGCCCCATGCAATCGGATATATGAAGGTAGCTCCCTGGGTTTGAGTTTTCACACTCATAATCTCTCTCCTAGGTACCTGCGCCAGGATAATCTTGTTGACCAAGAGAATTTTCTTTAATCCTCCCAATAATCAGCATGGTAGGAAAGAATTATCCCCTGGCGACAGGCAGGGACACAGGAATTCAAGTCATTTTCTCCAGATCGCGAGTAGAGCCAAACACACCACTTAGTCAGGCTCCATCGAGGGTCACTGTGAGCATCCCTGAGAAACATCCCTCCCTTTAGCTACGCAGACGATCACCCTCCAGTTTAACGAGGTTTTCCTTACCCTTCCCAATCCTCTCACAGACCGGAATGCCTCGGCAAGAAGCCCATAGCAAAAGCAACAGCAACAAAAAAATCTGACTTCTGGCCACTCTATGCTCGACTCATCATCTACACTCACCTCAAAGAAAAAAAAACGTCGGTTGTCATGGGAACCCAGCCTCGGCTTCCGGAAGCCGACTTTAAATTCCGGAAGTAGACAGCTAATTATCCGCCGTGTTTGGGCCTTCGCTCCATGGGCCCCTACCCTCCGCCGAGTCCTCCCGTTCACCCTTGCCGAGAGCGGGCCCCAGGCGAAAGGCTGTGAACCCCAGCATTAATATTCTCGGGATGGGGCGAGACTAGAGACAAGGCAAACAGGACACGGTACTCTTAGTAATCATGCCAGAAACAGCCGGGAACGCACTCCTCAGCACGCAAACTTCATTTCCCAGACGCCCTCGCGTACCATCGGAAATGCCCGAGTCTACTATAAAAACCCAGGCAGCGCCCTCTGTAGCCAATCCCGCGGTCTGCAGGCTTGCCGGAAAGTGAGTTTTTCAACGTCCTGGAGGAGCCCGGGGAGTGGTGACTCCCGCGCTCGGCAGTGACTGGCGTCCGGCGAGTCGCAGAGACTTGGCCCCGAGGTGACCCACTGTGTGGTTAGGGGTGAGAAAGAGCCCGGGCTGGGAGAGCCGGCACATGGGTCCCAGTGGTGCTTCCGCTGCTTCCTCGCTTCGCTCTGTCATTACCTGGCATTCAGCCTGCTTTTCCTTTTAAGAATTGAACACTTTTCCGTTCCGCTTCCATACTGCAGGTGGTGTTTGTAGAGGCTTCGACGCTTTTCAGAAAGAAGGCGTCTTATCTAAAACTTTCTAGGACCAAGCTGACCAAAGGTGTCAGCGTCATACCCCTTGTGTCTCGAATAGGTCTGACTGTCTGAAGACGAAGGAGCCGTGAGCACTTATGCTAGGGTGGATTTAGTTACACTCCTGAGTAGAATATTATAGGTCGCTCACTTCTGAGTCCTGCAGTTTGGAGGAGCTGCCTTTGGAATTGAGTTCTGGGAACTGAGGACAGGAGCTGGGTGCTTGTACCAGGCCTGCCTCTTGCCTTGACCAAGTCACTCTCCTTTGGATCCGAACCTTGCAGTGCTTTTGAATTGTAAGATACGGGTTAACAGGACTCGAACTCTGAATCTGGTCTCCAGGATTCTTAATATCCCTCCGTTTTCTGAGGAGAGAGCAGCAAACCCCGCCCCTTGGTCTGAGAGTAACAATGCATTTGGAATACAGCTCCTGAGAAGGAGGACTGAATGGAAGATTCATTTCTTACCCCTGGGACTGATTCTGGTTTAGCCCAGCCTAGGAGAATCCTTTAACTAGAGAATTGAGAAAAACATTAAACAGAGATAGATGTTAGGTACACTTCTTAACCCAGGATATATAAACTACACCCCATTGGCCGCACCTAACCCGGGGTGAATTTTACAGTTAAACTATTGCTGGGGGAAGGGTGAAATGTGAGAATCATATGAAGCTTAGACCTCAGTGTCCAGCAAGTGTTAATGAGCACTGAACTCTTCTTGGCTGCTCTTGTATCACGCCAGCCCAGAATGGATGGCACAATTGTGATAGAGACTTGGAAGCCCTCTAAACCCTAAACCCTGAAGAGTTTGCTGACTCCCTCCTGAGCATGGGGCCTGGCAGAGTGAGGACAGGAGGGAGGCTCAGCTATGGTGAGCATGTCTTGAAATCTTAGTCCAGACTGCTCAGTGCAAACGCTCTTTGTCTCAGCATTTGCATGTGTTCTTTCCCTGGCTTTTGCTATTTTAGGAAAAGAGAGGGCTTATCTGTGAACTGTAGATGGCAATATAACTTTCCCGCCTCCAAAGTGTCCTAATCATATGTTCTAAGTCTGCCACAAAGGGGTAACCCAGGGCTTGTAAGGGGGATGGATGCAATCCCTTTTGATTTCTTTTTCTGCCTTCCCTTTTCTTTTTTCTCAAATATATTTTCAGTGTGTGTGTGTGTGTGTGTGTGTGTGTGTGTGTGTGAGAGAGAGAGAGAGAGAGAGAGAGAGAGAGAGAGAGAGAGAGAGGAGTAGGTGCCTGAGGAGTCTAGAAGTAGATACTCCCTTGGAGCTGAGGTAGTAGGCTGCTGTGAGTTATCTGATGTGGGTACTGGGAACTCAACTCTGGTGCTCTGCAAAGCCAATATGCACTCTAAAACTGCTGAGCCTTCTCTTCGTATGGCCAACCCTGCCTTTTCGTTGTTGTTGTTTTTGAGCGAGGGTCTTACAGAGGCTAGGTTAGCCTCAACTATATACAAGTAGCTGAAGATGACCTTGAACTTCTGATTCTTCTGCTTTCTATCTCTGGAATGCTGGTATTATAAGTCTGAAGCACCACTCCTAGGTCTAACTTTCAGTATAGAAGATATGTGCAGTTTATTACAAGGGCAAGGGGTGAAGTAAACAGTGTTCAGGAGGAACATTTTGTAGAACACATTCTCAAGCAGTGGGAATGGACAATGGCTAAAGGGGCTACTGTCGCCTTTTTTCTTTTGTAAAAAAATAAATTTCAGAAATCAATATTGGCAGATGACTGGAGCATTCACGCAGGAATGGAGGTTGTGCTAGGCAGACACTTGGTAATCCCAAGCCTCTTTTGCCCTTTCATGAATCAAGGAAAGCAGCTCTGAGGCTGGGTAGCGAATCCCTGGACCCAGTAGCTCAGCCATGAAATGTGTTTGTTCCCTAGCCCTTATCCCTTTCTCAGAGATTGCTACTAATGTGGGTCACCTTGTGAGAGCCCAGCATCTGCTGCTGGTTGGATGGATAGCTGGCGTGGCGTGAAGTGTAATGAAATATAGGCCTGGTCATGCATGGGGACCAGGAGCTTCAGGTTTTGTTGGGGAAGCTGGTCTCACTGTGTTGCTAAGACTAGTATTGAACTCTTGTACTCAAATGATCCTCCTGATTCAGCCTCTCAAGTAGCTAGCGGCATAGGTACAACTTTGCCTAGCTAGCTTTAGATTTTGTTAGTAATTAGGATAAAGATCCTACTATGGGACTGAAGAGATGGCTCGGTGGTTAGGAACGTATTGTGTTCTTGCACAACACCCCAGTGTGGTTTCCAGCAGTCAGGTTGGTTGGTCCGCAACTGACTGTAACTCCCGCTCCAGAGAACCCAGCACCCTTTTCTGGCTTCTATGGATGCCTCTACATACACCATGTAGCGCTCTCTCTCTCTCTCTCTCTCTCTCTCTCTCTCTCTCTCTCTCTCTCTCTCTCATTCTAGGATAGTAATAAATGTGAAGTTATATTGCTTGACTCTCAATAATGTCTTTAGATTTTTTTTTTGTCTTGATCTTATAACCTGTGGATAAGGGAAAAGGTCTAAGGCCTTAAAACCAAGTAGACAAGGGTTTGAAGCTCCTGTGAACTTGCTTGGTCCTGGTGCTAGATACTTATAGTACGTCTAAGCTTTAATTTCTCCATGTATAGGATTGGAATGATAGTCCTCACAGAGTTATCAAGAGGGATAAGTGGTTTCTAGTGCTTATAGCTAGTGTTCAGTTAATGGTTTTTATTGCCATACTTTTCTTTCAGAGAACAAGTCTTGTAATGTTAAGTGTTTTCCTCAGGGCACTCAGATTGTGAAAATCAGAGATCAGACCAATCTTCTGTGAGCTTTCAGCTGCTGGGTCTGCAGGTAAGAACTTGGGTATTGTCCCTCCTTGGGCATTATTGGCTCTTGTTCCTGTTACATGGTCCAGAGAGATGGTCCTCAATATCAGGAGGCCACATAGTTACCTTCTTGGTGTAAGCCCAGGGGACAGACTGGAAGTCTTTGCCTACTTGCTTGGCCTTGTGTGTGTGTGTGTGTGTGAGAGAGAGACAGAGAGAGACAGAGACAGAGAGAGAGACAGAGAGAGAGAGAGAGAGAGAGAGAGAGAGAGAGAGAGAGAGAGAGAGACTGGGAATCAAACTCATGACTTGCTCATGCTAAACAATCCCCTGACACTAAGCTGCAAATACAGCCCCTTGCCTGTTTTTTAAGACTTACTGCTCATGACATAATTATTCACTAGAGAAAGCCTGAAAGCCGAGTTAGTTCCTGGCAGAAATCTAAAAATAATTGCTTTCTAGACCATGAGTTCTTGCTTCCCCTTTTCTCCTCTGGACTTTCCCCAGAAAAGAAAAAGCAGAAGTAAGTCTCAGGTGTAGACCAGCCCAGGGCAGGGGGGTGCCCTCAGTTCAAGGAGAGAAGTGGAGGGTTGGGGTCGAGGCCAGGCCCCATTGAGTTCATCTGTAAGGGAGACCTTTTTATACAGAATTGAGAGCACACAGAGCTTTCTCACAGGTGACATAATGCTAGGGATTGAGCATCCCTGGCTAAAAGTTCAGAAGATTCTGAAACTTAAAATTTGGGGTTTGGTTTGGTGCTTTTTAAAATTTATTTTTATATTCATTTATTTATTGTTCTTGTTTGGTTGATTGGCTTGGGGTTTTTGTTTGTTTATTTGGTTGGTTGGTTTTTGAGACAGGGTTTCTCTGTGTAGGCCTGGCTATTCTGGAACTCACCCTGTAGACTAGACTGGCTCTAACTCAGAGATCTACCTACCTCTGCCTCCCAAATACTGGGATAAAAGGCATGTGTCACCATGCGTGGCCAGACCTAAAACCTTTTGGTCATCAAAAATGAACACTCAAAACATGTAACATGGAAACATTCCCAAATCCAAAAACCTTTGCATCTACAATTCTTCATATCCAATTATTTTTTTTCTCCCCCTCCCCTATTGTTTTTTTTTAAACTTATATATATGGTCAGGTGGTGTTGGCTTGTACCTAATCCCAGCACTTGGGGGGCAGAGGCGTTCAAGGTCAGCCTGGTCTACAGACATAGCCAGGGCTACAAAAGAAACTGTCTTGAAAAAAAATATATATGTATATATATGGATGTTTTGCCTATATATTTGTTTATGTACCATATGCATGTCTGTCCATGGAGACTAGAATAAAGCATTAGATCCCCTGGAACTGGAGATACAGATTGTTGGGAGCCACCATGTAGGTGTTGGGAATTGAGCCTAGGTCCTATAAAGAACAGCCAGTGATCTTCGCCAAG